GGAAGAGCTGGAGCACCGCCACCTCGCCCCTGGGTGGGGAGAGGCCCTTCAGGTGAGCCTGGCTTGCGTGGGCAGCTCAGACTGTTGCTGGGCACGAATGAGGGTCAATGACCATGCCAGAGCTTGGACGGAAGGTGACAGTTGGAGGTGGGCAGGACAGATCCGGAGAGAGAGCTTGTCATGATAAAACCATGCTCCGTGTAGGCACCTCGAGCAGGCCTGGTACACAGTCAGTATTCAACAAATACCTGTCCAACAAAGAGTTTTTTGTTTTTTTGTTTTGTTTTGTTTTGTTTTTATAGTTTTTTTGCCATAGGGTGCATGCACTTGTCAGAGAGGAGAGACACAGAGAAGGAAAGTGAGGGATGGCCCTGCCTCAATTATTTCTCCATTTTCCTCTCAGGATTTTGGCCACTCATGCACACACACACACACACACACACACACACACACACATACCTGGCATGATTTTCAAGCCACCAGGTTCAGGATTTGAACCACTGTTGACCATGTGGCAGTTCAGTGCTGTAACTACCACACCACTTGCTGGCCCCTTGACAAGATTTTTTAAAACCATTTCTACTGGCAGGATATTGAGAACGGATCTGTCATCCATGTGCTTCCATGGAGACTGCCCGACTCCCAGTCCTGTTACGTTAGGTGTAGACACTTATCTTTATGGAGAAGGGCTTTCTTTCTTTATTTTTTATTTTTTAAAATCCAGATGCACATTTATCTAGAACCAAGCTTGAGCATGCAAGCAATTTATGGGATTTGTTCACAGGCACAGGTAGAAACAGTCATGAAAAAATGTAACAGACCTTGGGTTCTTTGCCTCTTTAGAGAAGTAGTGTTTTTCTTAACCTCTGATTATGTTTTTCCATTTTTTTATTCATTTATTCAGCACATACCTTTTGAGCATCTGCTATGTATTAGGTGCATCGTTTCAGTTTTTGGGAATCTAAGAGTAAGTAAGACTTAGTCCCTCCTTTAAGAAACCTAGGATAAAAAAAACTTTTTTTTTTCTTTTTTTTGGAGAGATTTTTGCTATAGGGCGCTTTGTGCTCGCCAGACAGAGAGATAGAAAGCGAGAAATCACCCCCCAGGGGGGATGGCCATGCTGCAATCCCTTCTCCTCCATTCTCCTCTCGGGATCTTGGGCACGCACGTACATGCACCCGGTGTGAGTTTTAAGCCACCAGGTCCGGGACCCGAACCACAGTCGACTACGTGGGAGTCCAGCGACATAGCCATTACGCTAACTGCTGGTCCCAAAGAAACTTTTCTAACAGCCCATCTTGACTATCTATGATTTCCCATTGAATGACATTTCATTCAAAGTTTGAAATATTGAACAAAACTAATGAATTTTACCTTTCCAGCAGAGCAGGTGTTTGCCTTTCAGTATCGTTTGGAGTAGCTCAATGTCAGGAGTGTTCTGTGTTGTATTAATTAATTAATGAGGGGCTGCATTTGATTTTCTTCACATTAACACTGATCATATTACATATTGTGGCTTTTTCTCAAGGGAAAAGTAAGATCAGAATGGCGGGCGATGGCCTCTGGTGGGCTGTTAGTTTGGTAAACTCTATTGTCCGATCGCTAGCTACCCTGAAACGATAGAGGAAGAGGGGAGTGAAGTGGGGTCTCCTGGAGAAGAAGACCCCACCAGCCAACCGGATCGTGGTGGGAAGCCTTCCGATGGTGGGTCAGAACTACTCAGCAGCAGGGGGAAAGAGCAGCCTTCTGCAGAGGGGGCGGCGTCAGTGACTGCTCCCGGGCCTGAAGAAAAAGCTGCTGCTGAAATCCAAAAGCGCAGAAGGCTTGAGCAAGCTGGGATCAAGGTCATGCCAGCAGCGCGGCGTTTTGCCAGGTCAGCTGTGCCCGCCGAGGGCTGGCCTGGCTCCTGGCTGGCTTTCTGCATGCCTGGGCTTTGAGACCTGCCTCGCCAGGGAGGGGGTTCAACTTGTTTTCCCACTACTTGGTTTTTCAGTTGCATCGCTGTGCCCTACTCCGAGCAAGCAGAAACGGGCCATAGTCTTGTCTTTATCTTACGGCATGTCTCTGCTAAGTACCTGGGTGTTTGTAGTGGCGGGGAAGCGCGAGTGCCTAGTGGCTCCATTAGACCTCGTTCTACTCACATGTCCATGGTCAGTCGGCTCTGGGCTGAGGATTTCCCTTGCAATAACTATTTTTCTATTGTTTGCGGCTTATTAACTTTTTACACTACTCCTAAATGGCTCACGTTTTCCTTTAGACATTTCTAGAATATAGTTCTGACATAGAGGACACTTCCTTTACAAAGAGTGGTCACTGGCTTCACAAAAACCCAGTCAACTTCCTGTGTCCCAAGGGAGTAGTAGATAGAGCTATTTATTTTATCTGAGTCATTTTCTTTTCTTTCTTTCTTTCTTTTTTTTTTTTTTTGGAGAGGTTTTCGCTATAGGGCACATGTGCTCACCAGACAAACAGATAAAGAGAGACAGAAAGTGAGAAATCACTCCCCAGGGGGGATGGCCACACCGCAATCCCTTCTCCTCCCTTCTCCTCTCGGGATCTTGGGCATGCACGCACATGTACCCGGCGTGAGTTTAAGCCACCGGGTCCAGGACTCGAACCACAGTTGACTATGTGGGAGTCCAGCGACATAGCCATAATGCTAACTGCTGGTCCTGAGTTCTTATTTTCTAAAGCATGTTGATCCAAGGGTATAGAATGTGGAGTAACTGCCTCTCTTAATGTAATGGAGGTGCTAACACTCCTCCTGACAGCTTCCTGTGACGTGTGGGATGGAGACCTTCAGCAATTATGTCCATAGCAAACGAGTTCTCCACTTTCATGCACTGTTGAAAAGCTGGTTGGTTTTTCTTATATAGTAATTGCCATCCTAACCAACAGTGCTGCAACCAGAATGTTGGCAAATCAAGACTCACAACCATTTGACAATTCTTTTGCTACTAGCTAGTCTAACAAGTAGGTAATGAATCCATTTTCCCGAAGAAGAAGAAACAGGATCCATGATAGTAAGTGACCTGCCGAGCTGGTCGCTGCTGGCCTGCTGGCCAGATTTGGTCGCTCCAACCACAGCTCCATCTGCCGCCCACATAGTTCCTGGGATATGTTCCATTTCTCCCTAGTTAACTTCAGATGTGGTTATTTCTGCGGTCCGGATCTTAATTGAAATATTCAGCGTGGACTTAGGTGGATTTAATCCTAGCGTAGATTTGTATTGATAAAAAATAAAATAAAATAAAATAAAAAGCAAGGATATACTTCTTCCCTGTCTGTGGTATCCCACAGACCATCATGCCTAATCTAAGCATGGATGTGCTTCTAGAAAATTCTATCGTAAAATTGTACTTATATTAGAAGCAGCTCTCTGGGTTCTGAAATAAAGAGTCTGTAGAATCTTGAAAACAAAACAAAAAAGTTTATATCGTGTTTATGCTTTGATTTGGAGACCTTTTCAGGCATCCCTTGAGGATCGGCTTGTGGTAGAGACCGAGCAGTGTGCCAAGAATACAAAACTGAGTAGCGTCCCTTTATCATCCACCGTTTCTCAGACTTCTCTTGATTCTGCCGTTAAGCCTTGGACATGGTAGGGCTAGATAATTCGTGACACAGACGAACATATGAATGCACACAAATATTTACTCCTCATATCTTTGACAGGCATACCCTCATTTTTAATCCCATTTGCAACGTCTTTTTCAAATTTCATTGCATTGTGGGACCCGCTGATGGCGTAATGGTTACATCGCTAGACTCCCATGTACTTGACCACAGTTCAAGTGTGTGGCTTAAATGTCACACCAGGCACGTGTGTGTGCGTGCCCAAGATCCCAAGAGGAGAATGGAGGAGAAGGGATTGCGGTGTGGCCATCCCCCCGGGAGGGGAGTAATTTCTTGCTTTCTCTCTCTCCACATCTGTCTCTTTGGTGAATGCACGCACCCTACAGCAAAAATATCTCTCAAAAAATTTTTTAATTTCATTATTTCTTATTTACATTTGATCGCAGTGCGTCATTTTCAACAAAGAACCTTATGTTCCTGCGTCTGTTTCTTCTGAGCCCGCCTCCACCCCCCACCCACTCCCTCCCATACAGTCTCTGGAATCTGCATTGTCCCCTCCACTTTAACGTCTTTCAGTCTTTCCCTTTTTACCAGCGTGCAGACATTTGGTATATAATCAAATAAAACTTCCCCAAAACACTTATCTTTTGAGGATCCAAAAGAACAAGGCGGATGAGAAGGGGGCTCCAGTAAGCTGATTGCACACACCTGGGAATAATGTTGATGTAGGGGAGAGAAGGCGGGCCACCGGTGTCCTGTGCCACTTCAGTAACTGGGAGGTTGGCTTTGCCATAAGACATTGAATTTGGGGCCAGCAGCTTGTGTAGTGGTTAAGGAACTGGATTCCCACATGGCTGATGGCTGACTGCGGTTCGAGTACCAGGCCTGGCAGCTTGCATTCTCACTTTTTCTCTGTCCTTTTTTTTTTTTTTTTCCCGAAGCGTGGGTTTGCCATTGGGTTTTTCCTGAAGAGAGGTTTTGCCATAGGGCACGTATGCTCACCAGAGAGAGAGACAGAGAGACAGAAAGTGAGAAATCACCCCCGCAGGGGAAATAACCACACCGCAATCCCTTCTCCTCCATTCTCCTCTCGGGACCTTGGGCACGCACGCACACGTGCCTGGCATGAGTTTAAGCCACTGGGTCCAGGACTCGAACTGCAGTTAACTATGTGGAAGTCCAGGAGTGTAACCATTACACCACCTGCTGGTCCCCTAGAAGTGAGATATTATCCCCTGGGGGATGGCCACATTGCAGTCCCTTCTCCTCCATTCTCCTCTCAGGATTTTGGGCACACGAGCACACACAACTGGCATGAGTTTTAAGCTGCCAGGTCCAGGACTTGAACCGTGGTTGACTACATGGGAGTCCAATGAAATAACCATTACAACATCAACTGATTCCCCCTCCCCCCACAGGTCTGTCTTTCTCTGGTGAGCACGCATGACTTATAGCAACAATTTAAAAAATAAACTAATCATTTTTTAAAATGACTTATTTTACAACTTTTATTCTGTATATACACATAGAATCACAGCTCGTTTAAACATGGAGTTCTGCTTAATACGTTTTACATTGGTGTGTGGTCATTTGTGGTCCCAGCCATGTCTTGTTATCTGGCTTAGTTTTTGCCCGTTTCGTACAGTTTTGTTCGTAATAGGGAAACCTGCAGTCTGGTTAATGTCATTATACCTTAGACCTTCTAACATAGCATTTAAAATAGGCTTCAGGAGACCAGCAGTTAGCGTAAAGGCTGTTGCTGGACTCCCATGTAGTCATACGTGTTTCAAGTCCCAACCAGCAGTTAGCAAAACTCACGCCGGGCGCATGTGCGTGCGTGCCCAAGATCCCGAGAGGAGAATGGAGGAGAAGGGATTGCGGCGTGACCATCCCCCCTAGGGGGTGATTTCTCGCTTTCTGTCTCTCTGTCTCTCTCTGTCTGTCTTGCGAGCACATGCGCCCCATAGCAAAAAACTTCTCAAAAAAAAAAAAAAAGAAAAGAAAAAGAACTGCATGCCACAGCTCCAAACACCCAGAATTCATTTGTATACGGATTTTTCAGCTGCTAGCTCTCTCGTGAAGGTTTTGTACATCCCATGCCGCCAGCCTGGCATGGCGAGGTCTCTGCCATTTACTTTTTATAGGCTGTAACAGAGCCAAGAAGCAGTCTCAGCGTATCCATATCGGGAGCCTTCTCTGAATGTGGCAGAGAGTCGCCGAGCTGGAACGGAATGCATAGCGTGAAGAAGAAAATGATGTCTGGGTGTCTGAAAAACACAACTATAAATCATCGACGGGCTGGTGTCTCTCATAGCATGTTACCCTCAGCCTCCTGTCTTCGACATCCAGATGAACCCTGGCCCTCACACCTTCCGGCCTAACAAGAGGCCTGAGAGACTTCCTGTGGCCCATTTCTCAGCGGGGAAATTCTGTGTTTGTCGAGTTGGGTGAACATTTAGTAGATGGATGAAGAGCAAAACTTTATTTTTGTGACATTTTGTGTTTTGTTTTTGTTTTGTTTTATCAAGTATTTTCTAACACTTCTTCGTGTTATTTTTTTTTTTATTTTTGGAGAGGTTTTTGCTATAGGGTGCGTGCGCTCTTCAAAAAGAGACAGAGAGACAGAAAGCGAGAAATTACCCCCCGGGGGGATGGCCACACCGCAATCCCTTCTCCTCCATTCTCCTCTCGGGATCTTGGGCATGCACGCACACGCGCCCGGTGTGAGTTTAAGCCACTGGGTCCGGGACTCGAACCACAATCAGCTACATAGGAGTTCAGCGACATAGCCATTATGCTAACTACTGGTCCCTCTCGTGTTATTTTTAAGACAATATACAACAAGGAGCAAAGGTGAATGTTACTCCATGTTCACAGGAGGTTAGAGACCGAGAATCCCCCAGTTTCCTGTCAAACAATCTATTAGGCAGTATCTTAGCATCTTGGGACAGAAAGTTGGACTTCTTGATAAATATGTGGAGTTCAGCATTTATTAGAGTTCCCAGCGAAGTCAAAAGTATATAAACTACCTTTTCTTCTATTTTATTTTACGATTGCATTAACTTAATTACCTCCACAATATTAGACTCCTGCCAAAGAAGCCAAGATTTCTGTTTTTAAGAGGATAAAATAAGAACCGAGATTCACTTCCTCTGAATTAAAATGCCATGGAGATTTGAGTTCTTTGACTTGGTGTTTCCCATTGGGAGAAGTAAACTCGTGTTTTTTTTTTTTTTTTTTTTTGAGCTGAATTATAGGTTTCACGTGATCGGACTTTCTTTTCTAATTGATTTCATATGT